GAAAAGAGCTCTCAGTGGCCAAGGCTAGCACAGCTTGAGCAGCAGAAGTACTACCAGATTATAACCTAAAGTATAAAATAAATATCCATGAGCCCGCACTGATATAAAACGGTTTAATAAATAAATCAGCGGGGGAGAAGGCTGGGCACGCTAGCACATGCCTATAATCCCAGCTGTTTTGCAGGCCAAGGCAGGAGGGTTGAATGTGCAAGACCAGCCTGATAACTCTGCAAGATTCTATCTCAAAATAAAAATAAAACGGGCTGGAAGCCGGGTGTGGTGGCGCACCCCTGTAATCCCAGCACTCAGGAGGCTGAGGCAGGAGAATCGTTGCAAGTTGGAGATCAGCCTGGGCTACAAAGTGAGCTCAAGGCCAGCCTGAACTGCACAGCGAGACCCTTTCCCCCCACCCCAAAAAAAGGACTGAAGGTGTAGTTTAGTGGTGAGCAGGTGCCTAAATGTGAGGCCTCGCATTCAACACCTCGCATTGCAAAAGGAAAGCAAAGGGGGGAGAAGGGTCAAACCTCCCAAGCAGAAGACTCCAAGCAATTTCCGCTGCTACTGCCTTCCGGAAGAGGGGGAACCTAACTCTTCTCTCCTTAAGGATGGGGGAAGACTTCCTTCCAGCACAGCACAGAAGAGGGCAGGGTGAACTGGACAGTAACTTCACAGTGGAGAAACTGACAGGCACTTCCTCAGCCAGCGGGTCAGGTCAGCAGCAGTCATAAAGCATGTGATCTTCCGTACTCACAGCCAAGATCATGAGAGAACCATCAGATTCCCCCAAAGAGAAAGGCATCCTGCAAAACACTCGGCCAGTGCTCCTCAAAACCGCCCAGGTCACAAATGACGGAGATCTGGGAAGAGCCCAAGGAGCCACCGTGACCAGGCAGAGGGAACAGCACATGCGAAGACCCGACTGCAATGGGAAGGACAGAGCCCCACCGTGAAAAAACAGCCTCATGGTGTCGCCTCTCCAGCCCGAGACTGTGCCCACGCTCCCCTTGTGTGCTTGGCAACCCTGCCTGCCCGGCGTTTTCCTGTTGTGGGGACTTGTCACCCTGTTATGGATAATAATCTTTTTCCTTTGGTCTCTCTGAGACAGGGTCTTGCTACGCAGTTCAGGCTGGCCTTGAGCTCACTTTGTAGCCCAGGCTGGTCTCAAACTCGCGACCACCCTACTGCCTCAGACTCCCGAGGTTTTTTGGTCTTTTTCATTTTGTTTTTGTGGTACTGGGGATTGAAGGGAGGGCCTTCAAACTATGAACTACACACTCAGCTTCCCACCTCCTTTTCTTATTTTGTGACAGTCTCACTAAATTGCCCAGGAGACTTGGCTCAAACGCGTGATCCTCCTGCCTCTGCCTCTCAGTGTACTGGGATTACAGATGTGTACCACCATGCCCATTGACAGCTTTCATAGGTTATATCTAACTCATCTAACTTCTGATACTTTTTTTTCCTGAGAGTGGGTCTTGTAGGAAGATCAGTCTGGCCTTGCACTCACTATGCACTCCCAGTGACTTCCTTGCCTCAGCCTCAGAAGTGCTGGGTCTACTAGAGTGTGCCATCACATCCAAACAATGTCTGGTACAAAACTGGCACAAAATGATCACAGGTGGCCAGACCCCATGCCACCTCCTGCCCTATCGGGCTGATCAGGCCCGCAGTCTCCCAAGCGAGTGGACAGCGAAGGTCTAGATAAATGAGACAAGGGAAATGACTTCAGGCCTCCAGGAGGGACTCACTCTTACAGTTTCAATATTCTCTGAGTTTAGACAAAGACTTCTCTGGGCGGCCCGTATTTATTTGGTTTTCAAACAAAGGAGGGGGATACCCAAGAAAACAGGAATCTGGGCAGGACTTTTCCAAGTAACACATTATGTTAATTCAGAACTGTGTTTGCTCCGGGAAGGCCTTCACAGCAGGAGTGAGATGCCCGCAGCTGCAGTCTCCTTGTAGTTACTTGGGGTTGGAGCCAGACGTCCTCAGCTGTGGCCTTGTTTTGTCCTCTGAGGTGTCACAGCTTCCCAGGCCAGTGCAGGCCTCCGTGGTGACCAGGGACTCACAGAGGTTTACTTACTATGAGCCCACTGCCTATCTTCAGACAAGGGCCTAAGCTTCGGACAACTCACAAGTGAACACGGAAAGCCAACTGGTTAACATTAAATCCTGCTCAGAGCCACTTTGCAGGGGTCCCCAACACTGCCCAGCACCAGGCAGCAGTGGGGTTAATGACACTGTGTCACTCTGCAGTTCTTTCCCTGGGCCTGAGATGTGCATCCTCTACTGTCCTCCAAGCTGTCCCAGCGCCGGGCTGCCAGATTTAGTGAAAGAAAATATCAGAATCCCGGGTCAATCTGAATTTCAGGTAAGCAACAAGTAATTTTCTTAGTATATTTCCCAAATATTGCATGGGATATATTTATGCTAATTTTCTTTTTCTTTTTGTCTTTTTGAGACAGGGTCTCGCTATGCAGTTCTGGCTGGCCTTGAACTCACTTTGTAGCCCACGCTGGTTTTGAACTTGCAACGATTCTCCTGTCTCAGCCTCCCGAGTGCTGGGATTACAGGTGTGCGCCAGGGAATTTTCTTAATTACTGTTGCTGACCTGAAATTAAACTCCTCTGGGACAGGCTCTGAAATCCTCTCCCCTCCCAGTGATATCTTATCTGTGCTGCTTCACGCGCCCCCCCATACCGCCACCACTCTCACAGTCGTACTATTACAATTCTTAGTCTCCCTGGGGCCTGAGCTCTCTGAGGGCCTTTTGCGTTCATTTTCCACTTTTTAAAGCTTAACAAATATCAACCAAGCAATGAAGGTGGTGAATGTCTGTTGGCAAGTCCCATCTTAGTTTTCTGCACACGCTAAGGTCGAGCACACAGTGTTTGCCCCACAAACGAATGAAGACTGGATGGAAGCCATTCATAGCGGCGCACACCTGGAATCCTAGTACTCAGGAGGCTGGGGCAGAGGGTCACTGCAGTCGGAGGCCACTCTGGACTACACAGTGAGTTCAAGGCCAGCCTGCACCACAAAGCCCCCTTGTCTCAAAACAGAGTCTGGGGGCTGGGGATTTAGCTCAGCGGCAAAAGCGCCTGCCTGGCAAGCGCAAGGTCGTGAGTTCGGTTCCCGGTACCAGAGAAAAAAAAAAAAAAAAAACAGAGTCTGGATGGAGGCAGCCCAGACCAGTTCTCCAGACAAAAAGGAGCCTTCCAGTGTTAGGGTCTCCTATTGCGGGACTGGGAGAGGAGGAGAAGGCAGAGCTGACCTCCCGGCTTGCGTGGAAAGGCTGAGACTCCAACCTTTTGCCCAGATATGAAGGAGCTGGAATCCCCCAGCAGCACAGAGATTAATGACTGCAAAGCCAAACCTGCACTGCCCTCTCACGTAAAAACCACACTCACATCACGAGACTTACTAACAATAGCAGCCACCAGGATGTGCGGTTCCGGCACACTGCAAAGCACTGCTCTTCCCTGACAGGGCCTTTGGCAGAGGCTGCACTGGACACCTGACTGCACACCCTGGTCATCTGCTCAGCCAGGTGTGTCTGGGTTTTTACTTCCACTATGTAAATGGGCGCCATTCTGAGCACTGGGGGTACAGCGTTACATGAGACACAGGGGGTTCCCGCACTCACGGACCTTAGTCTAAAACAAAACACTACAGGGGCTGGGGATTTAGCTCAGTGGCAAAAGCGCCTGCCTGGCAAGCGCAAGGTCGTGAGTTCGGTTCCCGGTACCGGAGAAAAACCAAAAAAAAAAAAAAAAAAATAAAACAAAACACTACAGAACTAGCTGGGTGTGGTGGCACACACCTGGAACCCAGCACTGGGGAGGCTGAGGCAGGGGGATCAGCATGAGTTCAATGTCAGCTTGGTCAACTGTGAGTTCAAGGCCAGCCTGAACTATATAGCTTGACCATGTCTCAAAAACCACCAAAAAACGCAGAATTACTGATATAGCTGTTTCCACCACTGTCCTGTGAGCTTTGCAAACAGGGTGAGAACCACTGGCGCAGAGGCCTTCCTGCGAAGTCGACACGGGGCTTCGGTCTGCCGGCTAGGAAGGAAGAGGCAAGGCAAAGGCAAGCAGGGCGGGCACAAGTGCTCCAGACGGGGAGGAGCAGCCCGGGCGGCGGAGCAGCCCCAGGGGCCCCAGCTAGGTGGGAGGCTGAGGCAGAGGGACTGCAAATTCGAGGCCAATCTGGGCAACTCAGCAAGATCCTGCATCAAAATTTTAAAAAATAAAGAGGCGAGGGTGTAGCTCAGCGGCAGAATGTCTGCCAAGCCCTGCACTGGCCCTGTACTGCAAACAGAACTCTTTCCCCAGACACGCGTCCCACTGGCTGTGCTTCTGTGGAGAACCCTGCGGAGGGAACACAGCTCTGCAGGAACAACCTCCCCCTCCCTGTCCAGTCGGCCCCTTCCAGGGCCCTGCTCCAATCCCTCTTCGGCAAAGCTGCTGCAATACCCTTGCAAAAATAAAAAAGAACTTAGAAAAATAAACCAATCTGATCAGTCGCTTCCCTGCTGAACACACTTCAAGGCTCCTCATCTTCTGCCTCGGGAAGACCCAGTCCTTGTCTTCACTAACCCACCCCCATGCCGTTCAGGGTCCGTCCACCCCCAGACCAGGCCGGTCACGCATGTCAAGGAGAAGCAGACCCCACTCTCAGCTCTGGGCCAGACTGATCTTCAGGAACGCTCACCTCCCCAGCAGTGAAGGGTTCAAAAATGCAGAAGTCAAGGCGGGAGTTTCCTGGCTTCTCAGAGAGAACAGCTCAGAAGGCCCTCCCCCACCCCACCCCCCCGGCACGGAGGAGGAAGCACAGAGCCCGACAGCTTCAAGCAGCCAGCTCCAAACAGGCACCCAGGCTGCCACTGCGGGGGCTCAGCCGAGCGAGAGGTGGACACCCTGGGGCCTCACTGCTTCACTAAGTCAACCAGCCCCGGAGCCTGTCACGTGGGCCAATAAATCTTGTCTAAGCGGGCTGGAGTCTGGACTTCGCTATCTTTGTCCGACAGTATCTTCATCTTAATCTTACTCAGCAAAGAAAGGCCGCTCCGTCCCGGTCTCTACCTGGTTTCTCAACAGCATCTACCTCTCCCCCAGATTCCGGTTCCAGCCAGGCCCAACTATCATCCCTTTCCTTGGAAAACTCTTCTCTTTTTTTTTTTTTTCCTTTGGTTTTTCTCCGGCACCGGGAACCGAACTCATGACCTTGCGCTTGCCAGGCAGGCGCTTTTGCCACTGAGCTAAATCCCCAGCCCTGGAAAACTCTTCTAACCTGCTTCCCAGGGAATTCCTACCCAGCCCTCAGCACCTACTCCAAAGGTGACTTTATAGACTAAGTTCCTTGTCTGAAAATAATAAGAGTTTTCTCCTCTGCCCTGCAATCCCAGCTACTCAAGAGGCTATGGCATGATGGACATGGTAGAACGTGCCTGTAATGCCAGAGCTCAGGGGCACAGCAGGAGGCTGAGGCAGGAGGATCACTCCAAGCTTGAGATCAGCCTGGGCTACACAGTGAGTATGAGGTCAGTGTGAATTACATAGTGACCCTGTGAACCTCAGCAGGATGACGGATTTGATCCCCAGCTGAGCAAGTTAGTGAGATCGTCTCAAAATAAAAACTACAGAGCTGAGGGTGTAGCTCAGTGTGAAGCCAAGATCCTCAGGACTGAAGAAAAAGTTCCCTCCTCTAGACCCTTCTATCACCTTTTTCAGCAAAGCTTCTTTTTCTCAAAAGTTGTTATCCTGGTCCCTGAGAAGGAAAAAAATTTGTCAAGAGACAAAGATATATTCCTCCACACTGAAACACCCCTCTTTCTAACCTCTCCATCAAGTCTTTGACAAAGCTGAATTCAATGCAAAAATTATAGGCAATGAGCTAAACATGGGAGTCCAGGCCTGTAATCACCCGACTGAGAGGCCGAGGCAGGACAGCAAGTCTGAGCTGAGCTTAGGCAATTCAGCAGAACACAGGCTACTTAAGCTGCGGCACAAAAGGAAGGTGATTCAGCTGTAGGGAGGGGCTGTTCTCAGCCATGTGCAGACACAGAGACAGCAGTGGGAGACAGGGGAAGCAGAGGCACAAACGTCCGAGACCACGCAGGTACGGAAGGACGGACGAGGAGTAACCGCCCTGTACTTGCAGGCAGAGCCCCACTCATCACGAGGCCTGGGGCAGGGTCGTCCTCTGGATCTGCCGACCCCTCCTCGCCACCCCCTGGGTGGGACTGGGAATTGAGCTTAGAACCTTTGGACTGAGCTGTACCCTCAGCCCTTTGTTTTTCTGAGGCAGGGTCGTGTTAAATTGCCCATGCTGGGGTTGAACCAGCAATCTCTTGCTTCAGCCTCCCAGAGTGCTGGGATTACAGGTGTGCCGCTCTGCCCATTTTATTTGCTTGAAACAGGGTCTCACTCTGAAACTCAGACTGGCCCTAGACTCGCTCTACATGTCGCCCAGGCTGCCCTCTAATTTGTAATCCTCCTGCTTCAGCCTCCATAGTACTGGGGTTTCACGTGTGTGTCACCACACCGGGCTAGAAGCTTTGATGCCACTTAAGAGTCAAAAATTGGGCTTGAACTTTTCACTGTCATAGGTCTGAGTTTAAAACCTGGCCTTGCCTAAGTGTCGTTTAACTTCTCAGGGTTTCAGCTGTCCTATCCATAACACACAGGAGGGGGAGATGAAGAAGGCGGTGAAGATCACCACCGCTTGCTCAGGAGGTTCTGAGGTTACTGAGATGCAGGGCTAAAGCCTTTCCCCAGCATCTGAACCGGCGCCCTGCTGCCAAGGTTGATACAAGTACACAGCCGCTGCTATTATTCTGTCTTCTTTCTCCAGTAACCACCTCCTTCCTGCCCTTACCCCTTCCTCCGGCAAAAGGCCCCTCGCGTTCCTTGGGAACTTCTCCTCCACTGGATATAATCCCTGTGGGCTCCATATTCCCGGCTAAGGAAATGCAAATGACCTCAGTCGCCAACTAGACGCACTGAGAATCTCAGTCTTTCCTCAGTCATCCAAAATGGGAGGAACAAACCCAGGGAGATGAACAGCACCAACTATGCTGACTTGTGCCCACCGCAGAGCTCAGACAGGACCAGGGCCAGCTCGACGCCTGGTTCTTCTTTTCCAGGATCTGGTTCTCTGCCTTCTCCATGGATTCTTTGACTCTCAGAATCTCAAATAAACTTTAGAGCTAGCTTCCACTCCTGGCTTGAAGAACTTACACACGATGTACTTTGTAAGCAGACCGGAACTCTAAGAGGCTTAACAAACTCTAACTGCTGTCCCCACTCCTCCAGGCAAGAGAATGGTAGCTAACTACTACTAGGTAACAAGAGCCCCCACTCCCAAGTGACCTTAAACAGTAAACATTTACTATCTCACAGTCCTTGTGTGTCTGTAACTCCAGAGAGCACTGCCGAGTAGCTCGGCTCTGGGTGTCCCATGAAGGTTACAGTCAAGAAGGTAAGAGCCCAGCCCGGGCAGTTTCGCAAGGCCCTGTCTCAAAATAAAAAAAGGCTGGGGGTTAGCTCAGTGCAAAGGTGCTGGTTTCAGTCCCCAGGACTGCCACAAAAACCCCAGTCAGCCAGGAATGCAGTCATCTCCGTAGTCAGCCGGAGCTGCAGGATCTTCCAGCACAGCCCACTCAGAGCTCTCCAGAGAATCCCGCCACTGTGCTGTATGAGTGCTTTATGATGTAGAAGCAGCAGTCCCCCAAAGTACGGCACTCAAGAAAAGGTGGGGGACCGGGCACACAGCTCAGTGGCACAGTGCCTGCCTGGCAAGTGTAAGGTCCTGAGTTCGACTCCCAGTACCAAAAAAAAGGAGGGAAGGGACAGCTGGCATAGTGGGACACACTGCAATTCCAGCACTTGGGAGGCTGACGCAGGAGGATCACAAGTTTGAGGACAGCCTAGGCTATATAGGAAGTTCAAAACTGGACTGGATTATTTATCCAAACCATGTTTCAGAAAAAGAAAAGAAAAAAAAAAAGAGAGGCCACAATGGATTTTATGACGAGGCCTCACAAGTCAAGCTCTATTTTTTTTTTCCCTTTGGTTTTTTGAGACAGGGTCTCGCTATGTAGTTTAGGCTGGCCTTGAACTATATAGCCCAGGCTGGCTTTGAACTCACAGCAATCCTCCTGCCTCAGCCTCCGGAGCACTGAGTTACAGACGTGCGCCACCACGCTTGGCTATCCTTTCAACAGCCTCCTGGCTACACAAGCTGGCCCTAGTAACTGCGGACAGCACATACACCAAGGGCATGATTCCCAGGAGGCTAAGAACACAGAGGGACACACAGACGTGGCTGCCTAGAGGGGGAGACCAGCAGCCTTGGGGAGCTTTTGTACCCACAGTCACCAGCCTTCTTGCATGTCAGCTATTCCTAGTCACCCCAAGAAGACATCCCATCAAAATCTGCAGATCACTTTCCAGTACTGGCGGAAGAAGAGGTAGATATAAAAACACCACACAAAATCAGTAGGGTGGAGGTTTCCAGTCCATGGACCAAGTCTGGAGAACCAGAACGGGACAACCTTTAGGGAAGGACACAAATCTGCCCCTAGGTCTAAGGACAAAGAGTAGCACAGAGCACCAGCGCTTCCCCTTGGCCCACGAGTAACCTCCTCCTGTGCAATCCTCAAGGACGGCCTGGCATCCAGGTTGGCCCTGGTTTTGTCAATCATCTGTTACTGCCCTACCTCCGACTGGGTAAGGGCTGAACTGCGTCCCCCGCAAGTTTACCTGTTGAAGGCCTACCCGCTAGTACCACAGAATGTGGACTGTATTTAGAAATAGGCCTTTAAACAGCTATCAAGTTCAAGTGAAGCTGTTAGGGTGTGCCCTCATCTAATCTGACTGACACCCAGGAAGATTAGAACACACACAGAGAAACCGGGGAGGGGTGTGCCCAGAGGGAAGACCCTGGGAAGACCCAGCTAAAGACAGCTGTCTGCAGGCCCAGCCAGAAGAGAAACCAACCCTGCTGCCCCTGGACCTTGGGCTTCCGGCTTTCACAACTGCGAGAAATAAATCTCTAGTTCTACGATTACCTAAGCCTCTGGCCTATTTTGGGATGTTAACTCTGTGAACCAATCCCCTAACCTCCACTGCAACGTGGTAAAAGGCCAGATACAAGGCATCCTGCCCAGGGTCAAGGAGGTGAGTGGATCTTACGTTTTATATCCAGATGCACCTTGAAGTCGCACTCCCTCCCAGGTGGAGCTTGTGGGAAGTGACTGACCAGCGGGTTAGTCCACTGATGGCTACGGCTACACGGCACGGCGGGAGGCAGGGCCTGGCTGCAGGGGTGGGTCACTGGGAGCCTGGCTGTAAGGGCCTACTCCCTCCCCCTCCCCTAACCGTCCTCTTTCTCCTCCACCCCGCCGCCCCGCCTTGGAACCAGGCGACTACGGACCACAGTCTCTACACACTGAGCTAAATAAGCCTCTCCTCCTTAGAGGTGTGGGTGCTGGGTACTGCGCCTCAGTGACGAGGAGGTAACTCAGACAGCAGAGCTAGGCTTCCCTGGCCAAGCGACGAGGACAGGCCTGCTGTCGAGCCACCAGTGCACCGTGTGTGCTCCGAGATTCTGTTCCACTCTGGGCTCCTCGATCCCTTCCCTTCGTTTACGAGCCCCAGGCCGCCTCCACCTTGCCTCCGAAGACAGCTTCCCAGTCCACAGGCTCCCGGGGCCACCTCCAGCGCCCCCTGCGTCTTCTCCCTAGCTGGAAAGCACCTTCTGGATCCGTCCCCGCACCTCCTTTGGTCCCAAGCACACCATCATTTCAGCGACAGGAGGTCCTTGCTGAGAACAAAAAGAGAAAGTATCACCTTACTGTCTCACCCTGCCTAAGGAACTGATGCCCCGCCTGCCTGCAGAAGTCACCCCTGGGCCAGCCCCAGCCCCAGCCTGCATTCCAGCGAGCAGAGTTTGCATTTTATTTTATTATAACTGATTTTAGTTTTTTTGTTTTGTTTTGAGACAGGGTCTCACCATGTAGGTCAGGCTGGCCTTGAACTCATTATATAGCCCAGGCTGGCTTTGAACTTAAAACTCACAGCAATCCTCCTGCCTCAGCCTCCGGAGTGCTGGGATTACAAGCACGTGCCCCCTATGCCCAGCAGAGTTTGCTTTTTTTTTTTTTTTTGAGACAGGGTCTCGCCAATGCAGTTCAGGCTGACCTTGAGCTCACTTTGTAGCCCAGGTGAGTCTCGAACTCGAAATGGTCCTCCTGCCTCAGCCTCCTGAGTGCTGGGATTACGAGAGTGCGCCACCACGCCCAGCTGTTTTCCCACATTAAGCAGTGCTGCTGTGTCTGTTATCCTCAGTAACGGGAAGGCCCAGGAGGCAGGGATTAGATGTGCTCTGTGGACTGCTGCATCCTCTGCACATCCCAAGGCGCTCGTACGCAGTATGCCCTCAAGAAAGTGTCTGTTTAATGACTGGAATACTCGCAGAAGTGAGCGTGGTGCCTGCCAGTGGAAGTCAGGCGAAAGGGTAACGAGGGGCTTGAGGAACAGGCCAGCCCGCTGCCCGGCCTCACCAGCTGTCCACTGAGCGCCACGCGGAGGAGTTTCATCACAGTGCTGTGCTTGGTGCCCTCCAGCCCTTCTGACAGCTTCTTCAGCTCTCCGTTCAGCACGGCTTGCGTTACGTCTGTATCAGATCTCTCTAAAAGCCTAGAAAAAGGGCAGCTCGTAAGGCAGCTACATGGCCAATGGCAAGAGGGTAGGAGGGAAAACTTCACAAGATTATTGCTCAACTACACTGTAAGCCTGGTTTGGCGGGTAGAGGAGACGGCTACCATCCAAGCTGGAAAAAGAAAAGCAACGAAGGGACCACACGCGGTGCTAATCAAGCAAGTGGGCATAATGGAGGGGGTTTAAGAGAGCGCCATAATAAGCGGGCTTACTAATTGGTATTTCTGGGTCATATAATCACTATGTCCCAATTTTTTTACCTATAAAGTAGGGATAATAATAGTATTGAACAACACATGGTTATGCTGGGGAGTTAGAACTTGTAAAGTGCTAAGTACAGTACCTGAAACATGTGGCAAATACTCAGAAGTATTAGATTTTACATTTCAATACAAAGTTTAAAAATTAGCCGATAATTTACTGCATGCAAGAGCTCAGAGACATCGCAAGAGGATCTGAAAAGAAACCCAGGAAGGGCTTACATAGAGGATGAAAGAAGGGATGATTCCTGGGAAGTTCTCTGAAACAGAGCTTGAAGGATGGAAGACTGGTTAGAGGAGGCTAGGTGCGGAGGCACATGCCTGTAATCCCAGCGCCCATGTGGCTGAGGCAGGAAGATCACCATGAGCTCAAGGCCAGCCTGCACTACTTAGCAAAGACCCTATCTCCTAAAACTAAACCAAAGCAAACCAACAAACAAAAACCCCAACTGGTCAGAGGAAACCTCTTTGGGAATGTAGCATCGAAGAGCAGAAAGAAATCAGGAGACCCCGGGTCAGGAACAGCTCTCCACCACCTTGCTATAAACCTTTCTTTCTTCACAAATTGAAGCACTTCAGGATGTAAAACTCCAGTAGGGCACCAACCACCCTGTAGCTGAGACCCACTCCCAAAAGCGTGTTTGTTTCCAGAAACAGCCCCTTTCAGGGGGGGCTGAACTCCGTAAACCATCTGAGTCAGCGGGAGATGGGAGTAGCATGGGTGAGTGTAGTTCACAGCAACTGCCCAGCTCCCCTAAGATCTGACCTGAGATTTCGACTGCAAACGCCTAAGAGTGACAGAGGCTGGAGATCTTCACTGCTACGGACGATGTGTGGTGTCAGTTCTGACACCGCCTGCTCCCATGGGGCCCACGTAATCAACGGTCAGCCCGGCGTGAGTACCACCGGCTCAGGGAACTGGGCTTGTGAGTGCCTCGCCACACACTGCCTCTCAGGGCACACAGACCTTCACCGACCGACTGACACTCAGCCAACGAGCTCCAGTCCATGACCATTCTCACCGCACCACTGCTGTGGTCTACACGCTTGTCTCCCAGTTTAGATGTTAAAATCCTAATCCACAAAGTGATGGTTTTGTTTTTTTTTTTTTTCAGGGGGGGTTGTCTTTTTGAGACAGGGTCTCACTATGCAGTTCAGGCTGACCTTAAACTCACTCTGTAGCCCAGGCTGGCCTTGAACTCACAGCAATCCTCCCACCTCAGCCTCCGAGTGCTGGGATTACAGGCATGCACCACCAAACCCAGCCTAACAATGTGATGATTTTAGAAGGTGGGTATCGGCAGGAGGAAATGGGCTTAGTACCCATATAAGAAAGACCCCAGGGAAACCTTATCCTTTCTGCCAGGTGAGGACACAGAAGGAAAAGGGCCCTAAAAGCCTGCCCTTACAGACATTCAGTTGGCTGAGACCCCAACCCTGGACTTCCAGTCTCCAGAGCTGGAAGAAGTAACTGCATGCAAGCCATCCAGTCTGCTGTATTTTGTTAGAGCAGCACCACTGGATAAAGACAATCGTCATGCTGCGCCTAGTGGCGCAAGCCTGTCATCCCAGCACTTGGGAGGCTGAGGCACGATGATTGTTGCAAGTTTAAGGCCAGCCTGGGCAACAAAGAGAGTTCAAGGCCAGCCTGAACTGCACAGTGAGACCTTGTTTCAAAAAAACAAAACAAAAAAATCGTCAACAGGGCCACTTGATCACTGCTACTTATGAAGTCATGGGGACAAAATACTAAAAATATAAAATGAATATGGGAAAAAATACATACTTTCCCTAATGCCACTGCTGGGAAGCAGGCTAAGGAACTAATGAAGGGATGAAGGCCCCAGGCAGCGACTAATGGCAACTCAGGGCGCGTCAGAGCTGGCCCAGGGCTTGGCATGGGCGCAAAGGGACTTCTAGGGATCTGGCAGTGTCTGAACATTTAGGTGTTGGCTTTCCTGACTGGACTGGAAATCTCAGTGCTTCTGAGTCTAACCAAACGGCCGGGATGAGAAGTTAGCATGTTGAGTCTTGGTGAATTAGAACTAATGGCCCCTACTGTGGCATGTCCTAAATTAAGAGAGTATTATTGATAATAATAGCTCTTGGGAATTCATCCTGGAAATGTACTTGCCAATACACTTTAACGTCTATGCCAGCTTATTCAGTTCAGTGCAGCCTTATTTGTAACAGAAATGTTTGGAAGAAACACAGCTATCTAGCAGTAAGAGATGTGTTAAATAATTTATGGCACAGCTGTACAATGAAATACATTTAGCTATAGCAGACACTGAGGGCACGCTCCAAGTACTGGACAAATCACGCCTGCATTCCCAGCTATTTAGGAGGTGGAGCGTTAGGGTTGAGTCTAGAAGCTCAGCTGAGTAACTCAGCAGTTCTACATCCTGGGGTGGAAAGGACCTGTCTTACCGCTCTAGGACGTTGTTCATTGTGTCAACTTGAGAAGTTTAAAAGTTCAACTAAGTGACTCAGCAGGGAGCCAGGGTCCTCACTTTGTGAACATTCTCAGCTTGTGGAAGAGGAGGGCAGGGAGATGGTGTAGGCGTGGGCGGAGAGCCCATACAGAAAACAAAGGAGGAAAAGGGCTGCCGACCCCCGTGTGCTCTCGCTGCTTGTGCTGTCTTCCGCTGTCATGAACTATTGCCCCTGTGCCAAGCCACTGCCTTGGAGCCAGCTGATTACAGACTGAAACCTCCACAAACTGAGCTAAATAAACTTCTCCTCCCTTAATTTTAAGTGTGGGCATTTTGTCCCAGCAAAGAGGAAAGTACCCAAGACACTGAGGAAGAGGGACAGAATGAGCCTAATTTGGAGCCAGGCTGGGTGACACAGTGAGAGACCCCATCTCTTTAGAGAACAACAACAACAAGAATATATATTGTTAAGTGGAGAAACATCTAAAGAAACAGATTGGTATTACTGTAGAGTGCAGGGGGATAAGAGGATTATTTAGATGTAAGTAAAAGTAGTGGTTCTGCAACTGCGCAGATAGAGGAAAAGGATTAAGAGGAGGACTTCCAATATATACTTCACTCCCCCGTAATGCCTACATTTTAAACTGAGATCTAAAAGGTTTGAATTATCATTAATACAAATAGTATACTTAAAACAGAAAACTGGAAGTCCAGCGCTCCACATACACACCCTTGAACATGCAGACACTTCACACAGCAAACTGTGAAGTGCTGCTTCTCTGGAGGAGACTGGACAGGGAGGGAGGACTCATTTTTCCCATAAACTCTCTTACATCATTTGGATTTTTTTTTTTTCCTACACATGTGTTTTTATCTCTTCCAGATATTTATTATAATAATACATTGAAGGCTTTTAGGTATCAGGCAATGTCCAGCCACTTTTTGCACAGGAAAAGCAACAGAAAATAGAGTTAGATGTATGATTGTTGGACCTAGCCTGCCTGGGTTTAAATCCCTGCTCCTCCAAGTTTTTGTTTTGTTTTGTTTTAATTTCTGTAAGAGTAGGAACATTTACTGGGGAAAAGGACTGGGGACTAGGCACAGCTCCTGAGACACAGGAGGGGTCTCAAGTGGGTTGCTCTCCTCCAAGTTCTTAGTTGTATTCCTTTGGACAAGTTACTTAACCTTTTTATCACCTGACGTTTTTATCTGTAAAAATGGGGGAAATGACACTAGTTACTTATTAGGTTGCTATGAATTTAAGCGTATGTACATATGTATTTGTTGTTGTTGTGTTTTGTGAGACAGGGTCTGGCCACGTAGTTCAGGCTGGCCTTGAACGCACCATGTAGCCTGAGCTGGTTTCGGCCCCCAAGCGCTGGGACTGCAGGCAGGCACCCCCAGGCCTGGCTCCGCCTTTCTTACACAGCAACAGAATATTTAGCTAGGCACGTGGCTGGCAAATTTTTGAACGACACTTTCTGGATACCCTGGCAGCTTGGTGTGGCCATAAAACACAGTTCTACCCAGAGAATACGGGTAGAAGTGGCACGCGCAGCTTGTGAGTGAGGTCTGGAGAAGCGTCCTGTCCTCTCCTCCTCTAGCTGAATGGGGGCCTGTCCATGAGCCGCTGCGGAGCACGCAGACGAGAGGAACACAGAGAAGCAGCGCGCACCAGACAAGGGGGACGCTGCTCACTCCTAGCGCCTCCTGCAGGCGGCACGGGGACAGACGCACTTCTGTCCCTTTCCGGCAGAGGACCCTGCCGAGCACCCGCTGAGTACAGAGCCTTTGCAGGAGCAGCCGGCACGGGGAGGGCAGCAAGGTCAAAGGCGCGGAGAGGAAGTGGGTCTTGGCCGTGGTGCGGGCCTTACACTGAACGGGTCTTCAACCGGACACTTCCAGCCCTTGTAATTACATAAACAATCACTCCCGTTGCTTCAGCCAGCCCTGGCTGCATTTCCTGCCACTGTAATCAAAAGAATTCCGCTGTTCTTACAGGAAGAACTAGTAGGATCTCTCCCTTATAGATAAGGCAGTGGGGGCACAGCGAGATTTTACTTGGCCGAAGTCAAGTCACCTAGGCGAGAAGACACGACAGGGTGACTAGGTGGCAGAGTGGGACTAACGCCAGCGGGGCAGGCCACTGAACCCGCTCTCTATGTCCACGGAGAGCCAGCGTCCTCCGCCTTGTCCTCTACACCTAGGAAAGCAAGCAAGGGGGCACTCTGGGCGGCTGTGGGTGGTGCCGGAGCCCAACAGCTGGGAAGCAGAGGAGGGGGCCGCAGGAGGGGGCAGGCGAGGAAGGGCGGGAGGCGCCTACCCCAGCACGCGCTTGCTGATCTCATCCACCTTCTCGGAGACGGCGCTTAGCTGCGCTCGGCCCACAGCAGGGCGAGTCCACAAGTAAGAGTACGCCGGGGCGACCAACTCCTGCAGGCGGCAGATGTGACCCTAGGGAAGGAGGCAGTCAACGCCCGCAGTGGGGACGGAGCTCCGCGAACACACGGCACAGGAGAAGGAATGGCGCGACTTCCCGAAGGCCCCATACCTGTCGCAGCAAGATGATCCTCTCCACATACGCGGGATCAAGCACATCCCTGTTCTGCAGCTGGGTCCCAAACGTCTCCTCCACCAGGGCCTGCAGCTTCCCCACCAGCTGGGGCCTCTGGGTCTCACTGCTCACCAGCCGGCGGAGGTGCAGCCTGGGGTACAAGTCAAGGGGTCACCTGCTGCGGGCTCCTCCAGCCCCCTTAAACCCCACCTCCCCAGGGCAAGGGACAAGCCACGTAAGTCATCTCCAGCCCCACTGCAGAGCAGCAATTTCTCCACATTTACAAAAGGAAAGGGATCTGCGACCATGAACAGCCAGCCTGAGAGCCCAGCAACCTGGAGACATGCATTGTTTGCAGAGTAGCTGACTTTCACTTTTTGTAATGGCAGTGGGGATTAAATTCAGGAGTGCCCTACCACTGAGCTACATACCCAGACCTTTATTTTTCCAGACAGGGTCTCACTAAATTGCTCAGGCTGGGCTCGAACTTGCCATCCTCTTGCCTCAACTTCTAAAAACCTGGAATTACAGTCATGTTCTACCATGCCTGGTTCTTTTTCATTTTTAATCTTGCAGCTCTGGGGCCAGAACCCAGGGCCTTGTGCATGCGGGGCACTCTTACCACTGAGCAATACCGAACCCAGGAGCTGGAACTTTAAAGTAGGAAGGCACCACATGAGAGTTCTAGTTTCTCCCGAGAAATGCGAAGATCTGCTCCAACGGGCCCTCATGCTTTGCAGCCGGAACGGGCTGGAACAGGGCGGAGGCCCAGTCCACCTGTCCCGCTGCTGTCTGGCCTCTTCCCTGCCTTGCTCCCTCCTCTGTGGTACCTGCCTGGCCTGTACAGGGGCCTAAGCTCACAAAGCAGAGTCCGGAGGTGTCTGTCTCCTAGCCTTGTTTAAATTATGGAGCTTGGCACAAAAGGAGAGGATTTGGAGAAGCTAGTTTGAATTAGGGTTCGTAGTTTAAAAATTTGGATTATCTTGTCAGTGTACGTTTTCTCCCTTTCAGAGTTTTTTGTTTGAGACAGGGTCTCACTACGTAGTTCAGGATGGCCATGAACTCACTACATTGTCCAGGTCAGCCTCAAACTCAGGGCGATCCTCCTGCCTCAGCGTGGGCCACCAAGCTTGGCTTTTTTCTTTTTTCTCAGGTGGAGTCTCAGCTGGGTATTGCGGCAGTCACAGGTATCAGGAGGCTAAGGCAGAAGTATCCCAACCTTGGGGCCAGCCGGGACTCGTCACCAAGTTCAAGGCTGGCCTAGATTACATACTGAAAGCCTGTCTCAAAAGCAAAGTGGAAGGAGGGCTCTCTTTGAGAGAGCTGGCCTCAGACTCATGACCTCCTGCCCCAGCCTCCTGAATAGCTCCAGTTACTGGCATGCGTCTCTGCACCCCACATCCAAAGTTCTTATTTTTTCAGTATTTTTGGTACAGGGTCTCATTATATAGATTAAGCTAGGCTTGAACTTACTCTCCCCCTGCCTCAGCCTCCACGTTGCTGGGATTACAGGCACCAACCCATCTGGGCTTTCCAGACTTCTTTCAACTGCCCGAGCCTCTCCTTTGAAAGCAGTAAAGCCTGCAAGACTGCAACCCTCAAACTAGGCCCCGCCCTCCGCAGCCTCCTGGCTGCCTTCTCCTCCTGGTGGGGTCAGAGACCAGGAAGCGTGAACGAGCGGGAGGCGGGGCCCTTCTGAGAAGTGTAAAAGGATGAGCGCTATGGGAAGGTATCGGGAATGCAGACTCCCCACCAAAAAAAATTTTTTAAACTGACCCTCACACCTATAATCCCAGAACAGTACTCAGAGGCTGAGGCAGGAGGACTGCTGCGAGTTTGAGGCCAGCCTAGGCTGGACAGTGAGTTCAAGGCCAGCCCGAACTGCACAGTGAGATCCTATCTCAAAAAAGCCCAAACTAACAAAAAATGTTTTAAACCGTGCCCGTACGCCCAGTTGGGGAAGAAGGGCTACATGCTGAGGCCCAGCCTGGGAAACCTCATGACTTTGTGAGTCTCTCAAAAAGAGAAATAAAACAGGGCCAGGCTGTAGCTCAATGCTAAGGCCCTGGGTTCAATTTCAGTGCTGGAAAAAAGTTAATAAATAAACAGGTATTACGGAAAACACATGAAAGCAGTGCTGAAACTTTTCCTAGAACTCCTCACCACAGACGGAAAAGTACAAAGGAGAAGTATCAGTAGGCCCGCGTGGCCACACTTGAAATAACACATGCACCGTCTAGGATCTGGGACACAGTGAGTGACAGATACACGGTAATTACTATTTTCACACACGAGTACCTCCACTGCTACGCCACTACTATCTATCACTGTATCTCCCACTATTTCTGTGGTAGTCATGGCAGTGGTTTGGCTGTAGAAACGTCGGAGGTAACAGCGTTGGCTGTGTTAGGCTCTAAGCAGCAACCCCAACGACCCAGCCCTGCCCGATCCACACGTACGCGGAAGTCCGGCTCCATCCTCAGGGCACCTCTGGGCCCAGGGAGGACTGGAGTGGATCAGAGCGCCTCCCCACCCCGCCACACTGTCCCGACTGTCACCTGCTTCACACTGAGCGCGGGAGAAGTGCAGGCTGTCCCTAACACGCACGCCGCGCCCACACTGCACACCCCAAGCCGGCCGC